ACTGTTTATGACGATTAGATTAAGGTACCTGCAATCCTAAAATGCTATGGGAAGGGTGGAAACAGGTCCGCGACATAGGAAGTGATGAATGAAGTAGTCAAGGCGAGCTGTCCGGAGTGTGGAAACTGTTTATGACGATTAGATTAAGGTATCTACAAACTTAAAATGTTATGAGAAGGGAGAAAACAGGTCCGTGACGTAGGAAGTGGTGAAGGAAGTAGTAAAGGCGAGTTGTAGGGAGTGTGGACTGTTTATGACGATTATTTTAAGGTATCTGCAATCCTAAAATGCTATTAGAAGGGAAGGAAACAGGTTCGCGACGTAGGAAGTGGTAAAGGAAGTAGTAAAGGCGAGCTGTTCGCGATATGGAATCTGTTTATGACCCTTAGATAAAGGTATTTGCAATCCTAAAATGCTATGGGAAGGGTGGAAAACAGGTCCGCGACGTAGGAAGTGATGAATGAAGTAGTCAAGGCGAGCTGTCCGGAGTGTGAAAACTGTTTATGGCGATTAGATTAAGGTATTTGCAATCCTAAAATGCTATGGGAAGGGTGGAAAACAGGCCTGCGACGTAGGAAGTGATGAATGAAGTAGTCAAAGGCGAGCTGTTCGGAGTGTGGAAACTGTTTATGACGATTACATTAAGGTATCTACAAACTTAAAATGCTATGAGAAGGGAGAAAACAGGTCCGTGACTTAGGAAGTGGTAAAGGAAGTAGTAAAGGCGAGTTGTCTGGAGTGTTGGATCTGTTTATGACCAATAGCTTAAGGTATCTACAAACCTAAAATGCTATGGGAAAGGAGGAAAACAGGTCCGCGACGTATGAAGTGGTGAAGGAAGTAGTCAAGGCGAGCTGTCCGGAGTGTGGAAACTGTTTATGACGATTAGATAAAGGTAATATAAAAGGCATTTCTAAAATTCTATGGAAATGGAGGAAAAGGGGTCCGAGACGTAGGAATGTGTGAAGGAAGTAGTAAAGGCGAGCTGTTCGGGGTATGGAATCTGTTTATGACCCTTAGATAAAGGTATTTGCAATCCTAAAATGCTATGGGAAGGGTGGAAAACAGGTCCGCGACGTAGGAAGTGATGAATGAAGTAGTCAAGGCGAGCTGTCCGGAGTGTGAAAACTGTTTATGGCGATTAGATTAAGGTATTTGCAATCCTAAAATTCTATGGGAAGGGAGGAAAACAGGTCCGTGACGAAGGAAGTGGTGAATGAAGTAGTAAAGGCGAGTTGTCTGGAGTGTTGGATCTGTTTATGACTAATAGATTAAGGTATCGACAAACCTAAAATGCTATGGGAAGGGAGGAAAACAGGTCCGCGACGTATGAAGTGGCGGAGGAAGTAGTCAAGGCGAGCTGTCCGGAGTGTGGAAACTGTTTATGACGATTAGATAAATGTATCTACAAACCTAAAATGTTATGGGAATGGAGGTAAACAGGTCTGTGACGTAGGAAGTCACGAAGGAAGTAGTAAAGGCGAGTTTTTCGGAGTGTGGCAACTGTTTATGACGATTAGTTTAAGGTATCTGTAATCCTAAAATGTTATGGAAAGGGAGGGAAACGGGTCGTGACGTAGGAAGTGGTGAAGGAAGTAGTGAAGGCGAGTTGTCCGGAGTTTGGGAACTGCTTATGACGATTAGATTAAGGTATCTGCAATCCTAAAATGCTATGGAAAGGGAGGGAAACAGGTCCGTGACTTACGAGGTGGTGAAGGAAGCAGTAAATGTGAGCTGTCCGGAGTGAGGGAACTGTTTATGCCGATTAGATTAAGGTATATGCAATCCTAAAATGCTATGGAAAGGGAGGGAATCAGGTCGGTGACGTAGGAAGTTGCAAAGGAAGTAGTAAAGGAAATGTTGTTCAGAGTGTGGGATATGTTTATAACCAATAGATTAAGGTATTTGCAGTCCAATAATGCTAAGGGTAGGGAGGGAAACAGGTCCGAGACGTAGGAAGTGGTGAAGGAAGTAGTCAAGGCGAGCTTTTCGGAGTGTGGGAACTGTTTATGACGATTAGATTAAGGTATCTACAATCTTAAAATTCTATGGGAATAGAGAGAAACAGGCCCGCGACGTAAGAAGAGGTGGAGGAAGTAGTAAGGTGAGCAGTGTGGAGTGTGGGAACTGGGAACCCTTTGTAGCAGTTAGATTAACTTATCTGCAATGCTGAAATGCTATGAGAAGGGATGGAAGCATGCCCACGACATAGAAAATGGTGAAAGAAGTAGTAAAGGCTAGCGGTGTGAAGTGTGGGCAATGTTTGTGGCAATTATATTAACGTATCTAAAATACTAAAATGCTATGGAAAGTGATGGAAACAGGTCCACGATGTAGGAAGTAGCTTAGGAAGTAGTAAAGTATGAGCATAATGTGAGAACCGTCTGTGGCAGTTAGATTAATGTATCTTCAATCCTAAAATGCTAAGAGAAGAGAAGGAAACAGGCCCTACGACGTAGGAAGTGGTGAAGGAAGATTTAAAGGCTGGCAGTGGAGAGTGGGGGAACCGTTTGGGCAGTTAGATAAATGTATCTAATACCATTATATAGTCAATATACCAATATATAGTCAATTCTAATACTTAAATGCTACGAGAAGGGAAGGAAACAGGTCTATGGCGTAGGAAATGGTGAAGGAAGTAGTAAGGCTTGCAGTGCAGAGTTTGGGAACTGCCTTTGGCAATTACATTAATGTATCTGCAATCCTAAAATGCTATGGGAAGAGAGGGAAACAGGTCCACGACGTAGGGGGTGATGAAGGAAGTAGTAAAGGTGAGCAGTGTTGAGTGTGGGAATGGATTAATGTATCTGCAATGCTAAAATGCTATGGGAAGAGACTGTAAGACTGTAGGTTAAAATGATTACAAAGCACAAATCGATACATATTTCGATACATGCAATCGTTTACAATAGAAATTTACAACTGAGTTGTCAACAACTGATTTTTACTCCATAGAGGCTAAAAACGATCTTTACTCCCTAAAGAGTAAAAATGCTACTTTAGACCCGCAACGCATGCATTAAAAACGACTGTTTTTACTGCAGTATGACAAAAACAATATAGTATGAACCCCTGATGACTCCGCTCAATTTTGTGGATGCCTCTGCAAACGCCACCTAGTTATCACCATGTACAAATTACAGGAATAGAAATAACAGAGTTTTGGACATTAAAATAACAAGTGGAATTAATCGCTGAACTATTATGATCAGGATACAAAAAACATGAAAAAACAAATAAAAATAAAAAATAACAAACAAGTTTCCCGATCCCTTAGCTCTATAGTGTGTTTCACCAACTGTGTCACCTGACAGATCCCCCCCCCCCCCCAAGGAGGCCCTTGACTCTCACACGCACACTCACGAGCTTCTGGGTCTGACCTGCCCGGCCGGACAGATGACTCACCACTATGGTATCCAATAAGCAAACCCATAAACAATAAATTTTAATAAATTTAAGGGATATTCTAAATGTTCATTCAATCTAAAAGAAAATTAAACCTTACACGACATGATTGTGATAGTATATGCATACAAACCTAATTAATTCATGATTAAATTTTAAATACCCATTTTATTTTAATAGGCTACTGAAATAAGCACTATGTGGTTATAACTATTGTCACCATCAACCAAACTTTACAAATTAAATGAAGTTATATTGAGATTGAAATGAAAACTGAGATTTAATAATTACAAAGTTTCACCCTTAATTAATTACTCCGCAAGTAATTAATACATTCAATACAGAACTTATGTATTGTAATTTATTTTATTCTAAATATTTTATTTATCAGTAGTTAAATTTGTACCTGTTATCTTAAACTTAAAACTTCCTTGGTCATTAACGTGAAAATATTTAGTGTGTGACTGGACTCTGGCATGTAATAACTAAGGGTTGTTTGGTTTTTCCTTTTTTTGCACTACACCCCATTGACTTTGAATTATATACAAGTAGAATTTTCATCATATTGTAAAATTTAAAGTATTTTTGTGGGTTTAATGTAGGCAACTTTTTAGAGTTGGTTTTGTTTTACTTCTGGGTTATGTACCACAGGACATGAAATACTTTACAAATAGACTGTTCTATTTAGTTACAATTTTTTTTCATTAAAATATAATTAAATACCCCCACCGCAGCACACCTGCCGACTAAGCGAATTTCCATTTGCCTGAATTGATTTTCAATTAAATATATTTAAATAACATTAAGTTTAACGTGTACCTAGGTTTGCTGCTACAAGGAAACTAATCAAGTGTATTTTTTAGTAAAATATTAATACCTTAGTATAAAATAAATTAATTAGCCAAGTTTGATCAAATTATATCCATAAACAAGCAAACTACAACATTTTACAATATTCTCCATAAGAATAACATGGGAATTTTAAATTTATAGTTTTTTGAATTTTCTCCGTTACCGATAACTGTACAAAAACATTTTGATATACTAAATTATTTGTTTTTTTAAGCTCTTTAAAAGGGTCTAGAGAGAAATTGGGAAATTTTGTGTTTTGAGGGTAAAAAAATAAGAAAAACCAATTTTTACCCCATAAAACCCCCCGTAACACCCCGTTTCCATGGTCCGATCATACTGGTTCCCGAACTCATTCAAGTTTATCCTGCATTACACCTTTAAACCAAATTTCATTAAAATCGGACAAAAATTACTCAAGTTATCGCGTTCACGGACGTATATATATATATATATAAATCTCTCTATATATATATATACATATACATATATAAAAATTTGAACGAATGGTGTTTTTGGCCTCTGGGGACATCAAAATGAAAAAGTAAATCGGTCCTGGGCCTAGGTATTACCGTGCCACCTACGGTAATAGCTACTTGCCTATAGGGAAATTCGCTAAAATCTAAAATTTGAAAATAAGTTTTAACAGATTTGGAATGGGATTTGCAATTTAAAGTTGTCCCATTTTTATTTTACCATCGATTATTGTAGTAAGCATTTAGTTTATGATAAAAAAAACAAAGCTATTACAGTTTTTAAGTAACACATTTATTCAACAAAATTATTTAATACAGTGTAACAGACAATGGTTCCTTTTTTTAGCAATAAGAAAATATATCAACATCTTTTAACTTGGTTGGTTCTGTTTCGCCACCTCTGTCGCTGATCTGACGGCTTGGACTGATGGACGGAGACGGAGTCGTCTGCAACAACACCACTCACTTATCAAAGTTAAAATTATTTGAAAAAACAAGAATCTACTTTTGCCATACTTAAGCAAAAATGACAGTACAAACTTTCAATAAATTATTGCAGGGTAAACAAAAGCAGTTCTTTTTAGCCCTAGGGTAAAAAATACCCCCGCCGCAGCGAACCTGCAGACTGAGCGAATTTCCATTACCTGGTTGGATTTTCACTTAAATTGTTGCTGCTACAGGGAGGGTAATTAATTGTGTTATTTTAGTACAATATTAATAGCTTAGTATAGAATAAATAAATTTGCCAAGTTTGATCAAACTATATCCAAAACAAGCAAACTACAACAGTTTACTTATATGCCATAAGAATAACATTGGAATTTAAAATTTAATTTTTTTTAAATTTTATCCGAACCAATAATGGTAAAAAACACTTCAATATACTAAATTATTTGTTTTTAAGCTCTTTATGTTGGTTTGTAGATAAATTGGAAAATTTTATGTTTTGAGGGTAAACAATGTGAAAACCCCATTTTTACCACATAAAACCCTGTTCCCATGGTCCGACGATTCTGGTTCACGAACTCATCCAAGTTTATCTCGTCCTACATCTTTAAGCTAAATTTCATCAAAATCGGACAAAAATTACTCTGCTTACAAAAAGTATTTGTAGGCCAAGATGTTTGTAATTTTATTTAAATGTATAACTGCAATTGCTTTTAAAAAGAAATACAAAAACTGACAAATGACTTAGATTAATACTTATAAGCCTATTTATAAATTAGAGGAAACTTTATTAGATCTCATCATACTCAAATTCAAACATTTACAGTATTTTAAAATAATTAACACTCAGAAACTTTTGTGTAATGGAAATCTGCAAGCGACTGAGGCCGAAGGTGAGGGAGGGCATGTTAACCAAGCTTTAGAGCAAAAACTTTCTCTTTTCCTACCCCATGTCCCGTTAGACGGTGGGCAGGGCTTCACACTAATAAACACTCAGTTCATTCATTCACAGTAGAGAAGAGTTTTTGTGGCAGTGATGTAATGTCTCTTGTCTGCTCTTCACTTCATAGATCACACGTAGACTTCTTTCAAAAATTATAATATTAAAATAAGTGAAAAACTGTTGAAATGTTTTTGCAATTAATAATAAACCTTTAACACCAAAATATAAGTTCGATACACATACATATTGTGTTTTTTTTTTGTGGTATAACAGTTTTTAACCAGGTTTATTTTTGGTGAATTGAGAAATGCTTTGTTCGTAAAAATGAAGATGGAATATGTCAAATAAAATTGTTGATTTTCTCGTTAACTACTCGACTCCACTCGATACTAGAGTATTAGGTCTAATTACTCGACTCGACTCAAAAAAACACTTCTCGCCCATCCCTAGTGACTATTGTGATCATTTGTTTGATCTGACATATATTTACATGTTTCTTGGGGGTAGTGGTGAAGCCAGGGTCGTGAGGTGGTCACAGGTGTTTGCTTGATCTGTAGAGAATCTAAAGGGCTCAACACCACCTGCTTAACAGAGAACAATACTTGAAAATGTAAACAGAAAGCTTTTGATTTTTTAAATATTACAGTACTAAAAATATCAGCTAATTGAATAAGTTCAAAAAGGTTCTTTATTAAGTCCTATTATAACTTTATTTTCTTGATTTTGTCCTGGTAGTTCAAAAGAAGACAGGGAAAAGAAGGACTGCTCACCATTCGTAAAACTATCTTAAGCCCTTTGAAACCAAGGAATTTTTTCAATTGTCTAAACTTTAATCTGATGATTAGGATGCTCTGTCAATTATACTTTGTTATTCCTGAATACACTGCTTGGCAACTGTGTACACCTAAAAAATACTGTCATGTAGAATGAGTTCAAACAATAATATTATGAAACTACACAGAAAAAGTTATAAGTTTACACATGTTAATATTTCACAAATTAGAAAAAGAGGCTTGAATTAAATACTATAACTTGAGTAGATACCTTTGTAGCAATAGATGTATTAGGTCTAGAATTACTGTTAAGCTTCCCTCCTTTGAATAATGCTGACACTGAACGTTTGCCTTTGGATTCCGTCATCTGTGAAAAAAGAATTGAAAGCAGTGTATACAATCAAGAGATTTCACGTGGGAAAAGAAGTAGGTACTTTAAAAACTAATACAATTGTAACGAGCCTTTATCCTAGTAGAGTAAGTTTTTGTTGTCTAGCCTCGCGCTGATTGTTGAAGTAAGCAAATGACAGTGGCGAAGCGAGATAGCGCCCTTTGACCCCAGCTTATCAGTTCCAACAAGCATCGGGTATCCTGGAACTTCATGATTGTCTAGGACAGTTTGAGTTGGACATTTGAGTCGTGGACGACGGTTAGTGAGTTGGCGTATTGTGCGAGAATTGCGAGTGGACGATTGTGCGTCGGTAATTAAAAGAACAAGGGAATATTTAATATTTAGTTCCATTCTCATTAAATAGTTCACCGGTACAGCTGAGGAATAAATTTCACTGTTGAGTTTTAACGATGAAGTTAAAGAATTTATATCTAGATCTGAGTTGAAAATAACTGTGTTTCATTATATTATTTTATCATTGTTGTTTACTGTTCCAAATGTTAATTATTTTTAATGTTTTAATAGTTTATATAATTGTTAAAATCCTTTTATTACTGTTACTTTTTTCATTGTTTATCAATAAGTACCTGGGGACCGAGCTTTGCTCGGGGAAAATCATTAGTTAACTCTGAAAGCAGTTTAGTATTGCAGATACATTAATCCACTCCCAAACACCACACTGCTCACCTTTACTACTTCCTTCACCACTCCCTACGTTGTGGACCTGTTTGCCCTCCTTCCCTATACCAATTTAGAATTGCAGATACATAAATGCCAAATACAGTTCCCACACTCTGCACTGCTAGCCTTACTACTTCCTTCACCATTTCCTACGTCATGGACCTGTTTTCCACATTCTCATAGCATTTTAGGATTGTAGATACCTTAATCTAATCCCCATTAAAAGTTCCCACACTCCAGACTGCTCACCTTTACTACTTCCTTCACCACTTCCGACGTCGCGGACCTGTTTCCCTTCCTTCCAACGACATTTTAGGATTGCAGATACCCTAATCTAATCGTCATTGACAGTTCCCACACTCCGGACTGCTTGCCTTTACTACTTCCTTCACCACTTCCTTCGTCGCGGACCTGTTTCCCTCCCTTCCCATAGCATTTTATGATTGTAGATACTTTAATTTAATCGTCATTAATAGTTCTCACACCCCAGACTGCTCACCTTTACTACTTCCTTCACCACATCCTACATCACCGACCTGTTTCCCTACCTTCCCACGGCATTTTAGGTTTGCAGATACCTTAATCTAATCGTCATAAACAGTTCCCACACTCCGGCCTACTTGCCTTTACTACTTCCTTCACCACTTCCTACGTCGCGGACCTGTTTCCCTCCCTTCCCATATCATTTTAGGATTGTAGATACCTTAATCTAATCCCCATTAAAAGTTCCCACACTCCGGACTGCTCACCTTTACTACTTCCTTCACCACTTCCGACGTCGCGGACCTGTTTCCCTTCCTTCCAACGGCATTTTAGGATTGCAGATACCCTAATCTAATCGTCATTAACAGTTCCCACACTCTGGACTGCTTGCCTTTACTACTTCCTTCGTCGCGGACCTGTTTCCCTTCCTTCCAACGGCATTTTAGGATTGCAGATACCCTAATCTAATAGACAATAGACAATAGACAAATAATCTTTATTTACACATTCATTAAGAATAGTAGTAGCGTCAATTTACAATTTTTTCTAAATGTTTGGTTGAGGTGTTGTTTGGTCAAAGATCTGTTGATGGTATTCTTCTAAGGAATAGAAAGGTCGATTAATGAGCCATTGATGCAAAGCTGGTTTGAGGTCATCTTCTGACTTGCTTCTTAGATCTGGAGGTAGCCTGTTGTAGATTTTCATTCCTGCGTATGAAGGTTTCTTTTCAAACTGTGCCGTGCGATGTTGTGGAAGGTTGTACTGCATGGTGTTTCTCAGGTTGTGTTGGTGCATTTCGCCACGCCTTGTAGGGTTATTTCTTACTGCAAATAACACAACTTCCTGGATGTAGAGTGCTACAAGGGTAAGTACTTTGAGTGACCTGAATGCTTCCCTGCAGCTCTAATCGTCATTAATAGTTCTCACACCCCAGACTGCTCACCTTTACTACTTCCTTCACCACTTTCTACGCCGTGGACCTGTTTCCCTCCCTTCCCATAGCATTTTAGGATTGTAGATACCTTAATCTAATCGTCATAAACAGTTCCCACACTCCGGCCTGCTTGCCTTTACTACTTCCTTCACCACTTCCGACGTTGCGGACCTGTTTCCCTTCCTTCCAACGGCATTTTAGGATTGCAGATACCCTAATCTAATCGTCATTAACAGTTCTCACACTCCGGACTGCTCACCTTTACTACTTCCTTCACCACTTCCGACGTCGCGGACCTGTTTCCCTTCCTTCCAACGGCATTTTAGGATTGCAGATACCTTAATCTAATCGTCATTGATAGTTCCTACACTCCGGACAGCACGCCTTGACTACTTCCCTCACCACTTCCTACGTCACCGACCTGTTTCCCTACCTTCCCACGGCATTTTAGGTTTGCAGATACCTTAATCTAATCATCAAAAACAGTCCCACACTCCGGCCTGCTTGCCTTTACTACTTTTTTTCACCACTTCCTACGTCGTGGACCTGTTTCCCTCCTGTCCCATAGCATTTTAGGATTGCAGATAACTTAATCTAATCGTCATAAACAGTTCCCACACTCCGGCCTGCTTGCCTTTACTACTTCCTTCACCACTTCCTACGTCGCGGACCTGTTTCCCTCCCTTCCCATATCATTTTAGGATTGTAGATACCTTAATGTATTCTTCATTAATAGATCCCACACTCCGGCCAGCTTGCCTTGACTACTCCCTTCACCACTTCCTACATCGTGGACCTGTTTCCCTCCTGTCCCATAGCATTTGAGGATTGCAGATAACTTAATCTAATCGTCATAAACAGTTCCCACACTCCGGACAGCACGCCTTGACTACTTCCCTCACCACTTCCTACGTTGTCGACCTGTTTCCCTCCCTTCCCACGGCATTTTAGGTTTGCAGATACCTTAATCTAATCCTTATTAACAGTTCCCACACTCCGGACAGCTCGCCTTTACTACTTCCTTTACCACTTCCTACGTCGTGGACCTGTTTTCCTCCCTTCCCATTGCATTTTAAGATTGCAGATACCTTAATCTAATCGTCATATACAGTTCCCACACTCCGGACTGCTTGCTTTTACTACTTCCATCACCACTTCCTATGTCGCGGACCTGTTTCCCTACCTTCCCATCACATTTTAGGATTGCAGATACCTTAATCTAATCGTCATAAACAGTTCCCACATTCCACACTGCTAGCCTTTACTACAATCATAGATAAAAAAAGTCCTGCTACTATGTATCGAGTAATCTTCAGTATAATCTTTGCTCAATAGTAACAACTGATGTTTTCCCTTTTGTACTGTATTTTGTAATTGCTAAAATACTGTGGATAGACTACTTACAAGTCTTTTGTTTACTTTTTCCTTGTTATTCAATTCAACCAACATGGTTACTTAGCAACCCATAAGACCATCATCAGCAACCCATGTTAAAAAAATGTGAAAAAAATTCTGTGATTGGTTTGGTATATTATTGAATTCTGTGTCATGGTATAGTTTACTTACAGAAAAACAAGGGAAACAAAAGACTTATTGAATAACAAAACCCTCAGACCCTCCGGTGAGCTGGCACCACCTGATCTTTTAAGTGAAAGGCAGCACCTGTTTAGGGGTCTCAGTCTAGCCCTGCTTGCGTCTCATACACCAACCTTCAGAACTCAAAAGTTAAAAAATTTGTACTCATGTATGTAAGTTTACTCATTAGATAGTTAATAAGGTCCAGAATTTATCATTGGAGCACTCCAAAAGGTAATTCACCCGCAATTATCTTATTGTTACATTTGTGAAAATTCTTTGTTTATTAAACATGAGTTGAACCAACAGAGTTCATGATAGAAAACAATTTTTACCTTGGGAACAATATCCATGGTTTCTATTGGAGGCAGAGTAACATGGCGGGACCATGGGAGTGGGGGTGATGTTTTGAGATTCCTGCGACAGTCAAGCCTGCAACAAGTGTGGTGTGGTGATCAACTTATCAACTCCAACAATGGTTACTACTTCTTGCAGCAATACCTAACAAGGCTTTTTAAACTTATTTATATTTCTAGTTGGACACCGTCATATTTATGTATACATTTTACTGACTGTCTTAATCTCTTCACAAATATTGTAGCAAACATGCAAAAACACATACATTACACATTATCCGAACCCAGTTATCTGAGCCCTCAGATTGTCAGAAGTTGTTTTAGGCCTACATAATATATACTTTTTATTTTTGGTTTGGAAAACAATAATTTTTTTATTAATGTAGGTTTCTGTTTAAAGTAAAGTATAGATAGCAATTAATTTGCAATTTGTTGAAATCAATTCTTGAAATAATTGTTGCAAGTATTATTTTTAACAAGCGAATGTTCAATGTGAATGTGTAATACGATGTTTTGATGTTGATATGATTATGTCAAGTATAGCTCAGGAAGAACTCAAACAATAAGAAATTTTATACTTTTAAAAGTGGATTGATTCGCCCTATTATGTTTTTAATCCTGCAGTGTGTTGCTTTAGAATGATTTTCTATGATAAATTTTTTTTCAAGAAGATTAGTGTACTGTATTTTTTTATGTTACGCTACGGAAAATGTATATTCACACAAATTAATTAACGTAGGATATTTGTTTAGTACTTGAGTAGACCTACATTGTAAGATTAATTTCACAACATAGTTCAGTGCAAAAAATATGCGGTTTCATTATTATTACTACAATTTAAATATAGTACTAATTTTTTAACCACATTACTCTTTCTTAAATTTAACTCGAGCTATGAGGAAAATAGTCTACACTCCTTAAGACCTTAAGACTAACCTTATTCCTGGTTTATGGCTCTGTTTTAGCAGGATGTGAAAAAATATAGGGTTGACCTCAATATAGTTATAGGGGTAGTTTATAGGGTTAACCTACAAATATAGGTTAATCAATTATATCTTAATACTTTTCAATGAAAAGGCGACCATACACAGTAGGTATTTTAAGCCAAGTATGAATTGAGATGAGTGTAGGATGAGTGGCACGATCTTGTAGTCTTGTTAGTGACTAAGGCCGACATATTCCTTAGAAATAGCTGTTTATTAATAGTCCATACAGCTAATGGAAACTAAGGGACCTACGGTTTATAGGTAGTGGAATCCGAACCACATTTTTGCCTTTGGTATATACAAATTGGTTTAATTATCAGGATAGTACTGCGGATAGTCGTAGTACTCACCCGTGCGGACGTTAATCCACACCAGAGAGTATCGCATCCACAGTGCATGCCTATAAATATCCACAATTTGTGACCTCCTAGTAGATGGATTACAGGACGACGCCACCCGTCCCAGTCAATTATTTAAGTCTCATACATTTCTAGGTGTTTACATAAAGATGAATCACTTAAATGGGATGTACATCTAAATCAATTAAAAAGTAAACTTAGATCCATGTCAATTGTATTTTTTGCACTTAAGGGACTGCGTTCCTAACGAAACTCTGAAAATGGTCTATCATGCTTATGTAGAATCAGTATTGAGGTATGGTATAATCTTATGGGGTCAGGCTACCGGAGTCAAATCAATATTCAGGCTACAAGAACGCATTATCCGTATTATGACCAACTCTCATCAACGTAGTTCATGCAAAAACCTTTTTCGAAATTTAAAAATCCACACTCTAACAGGACTGTACATTTTGGAATCACTAAACTACATTCATTCAGCTAAAAACGACCTCCCAGAATCAATTCAAATCAACCATAGATATAATTTAAATTTAATTGAGCGGAGCGAGCGAAGCTCTTATACGTCGACTTTTATGCATTTCGTAATACGCAAACTCCTCCTAGACGGCTGAATCAATCGTTTTCAAATTTTGGATGGTGATAAAGACCATATCGGCGAGTGCCAACATCTATATGGCGTTAAAAATAACTCTCAGGAATCCGCCCCACTGGGTCTCAAAGTTTCAATGTAATCCTTATGGAAGCAGTATTTGACACATAAACAAAGACATATGATCAGCTGTTGACTTTTGAATGCAGTAGATAAAGAAATAGCTGATAGCATTATTCCACAGATATTAAAAGGAAGTACTAAAGGTGAGCAGTCTGGAGTGTGGAAACTGTTTATGACGATTAGATTTAGGTATCTGCATTCCAAAAACTATGAGGGAAGGGAGGAAAATGGGTCCGCGACGGCGGAAAATGGCGAAAGAAGTAGTAAAGGCTAGCAGTGCGGAGTGTGGGAAATGTTTGTGGCAATTATATTAATGTATCTAAAATACTAAATTGCTATGGAAAGTGATGAAAACAGGTCAACGATGTAGGAAATGGCTTAGAAAGTAGTAAAGTATGAGCATAGTGTGAAATCCGTCTATGGCAGTTAGATTGATGTATCTTTAATCCAAAAATGCTATGAGAAGGGAAGGAAACAAGTCTATGACGTAGGAAATGGTGAAGGAAGTAGTAAGGCTTGCAGTGCAGAGTGTGGGAACTGTCTTTGGCAATTACATTAATGTATCTGCAATCCTAAAATGCTATGGGAAGAGAGGGAAATAGGTCCACGACGTAGGGGGTGGTGAAGGAAGTAGTAAAGGTGAGCGTGTTGAGTGTGGGAATGGATTAATGTATCTGCAATGCTAAAACACTATGGGAAGAGACTGTAGACTGTAGGTTAAAATAATTACGAAGCACGAATCGATACATATTTCGATACATGCAATCGTTTATAATAGTAATTTACAATTGAGTTGACAACAGCTCATTCTTACTCCATAGAGGATAAAAACTTTTTTTACTTCCTAAAGAGTAAAAATGCTACTTTAGACCCGCAACGCATGCATTAAAAACGACTGGTATTACTGCAGTATGACCAAAACAATATAATATAAACCCTTGATGACTCCGCTCAATTTTGTGGATGCCTCTGCGAACGCCACCTAGTTTTACTTGAATTTTACATAAACAATGTACTGTATAATGCTTCAAGACTATATAAATTCGTATTTTATTTTTTGAAAAATTGTAAATTTTGTATATATTGTGGAAATAAAACTGATTTGATTTGATTTGATTCGATAATACTCAAAATGAAAACATTTTTAGATTTTTAAGGCACCATTCAACCCTTTATGAAAAAAGTCCGCTATATGCTGGGCTGAGGCTGTACAATGTGCTGCCTGCAAACTATAAATTGTTAAGTGAAAATAATTTTAAAGATAAAATAAGTAAACTTTTAATTGACAGAGCCTTTCATTTAATTACAGATTGTCATAATACTCCTTTAGTTTAGAATAGTTTTATCATTCAATTTTGTTAATTTACATCATCTTCTTGATTACTATTTTATTTTTTACTAGCTGTAACCCGCGGGCTTTGCCCCGTTTAACTTCTTAATTTTCAAGATGATCTCGTTCGCATGGCTCAATCACGTCCTGGTTGAAGTTCGTTTGCTACGCTCACTCACCTTTAGGTTGGAGCTCGTTCGCTATGCTCACCCGCCTTTAGGTTGGAGCTCGTTCGCTGCGCTCACTTGCCTTCAGGTTAGCTCGTTCGCTACGCTCACTTGCCTTCAGGTTAGCTCGTTCACTACGCTAACTCGCCTCCAGGTTGAAGTTCGTTCGCTATACTCACTCACCTTTTGGTTGCAAATTAGCCGTTGTCATAAATGTAAAAGAAATAATAGTGCTGCACCCTGTTGGTAATCCTTGTAACTTTAATGCTATTGAACATCATAGAACAGAACCAACTTGTTTAATTGAAACAGCTGTTAAGATTCATTTATTCCATTTCTCATAAGGTTAACATGGGAAACTCCAGAGCCACTGGGGCGGAGCCGATTGGACGGATCACGAAATTGATGGTGTATAAATAAACCTATTCCATGAAATTCTACACGTATGTACCAAGTTTCGTGGCAATCGGTTCAGCGGTGTCTGAGTTTATCACTGCCAAATATATATCTATATTTATAAAAGAGGAAGTTTGTGTATATATAAATATATATATCTAATATATAAAATTCTCGTGTCACAGTGTTTGTCTGCAAACTCCTCCGGAACGACTTCACCGATCGTTATGAAATTTGGTGTGTAAATTCTGTAGGTATGCGAATCGGACGTAAACTATTTCCCGTTTCGAAATTCTTAAAAGGGCTCCGCCCCAGTGGCTCTGGAGTTTCCCATGTTAACCTTATGAGAAATGGAATTAATGAATCTTAACAGCTGTTTCAATTAAACAAGTTGGTTCTGTTCTATGATGTTCAATAGCATTAAAGTTACAAGGATTACCAACAGGGTGCAGCACTATTATTTCTTTTACATTTATGACAACAGAATTTGCAACCAAAAGGTGAGTGAGCGTAGCGAACGAACTTCAACCTGGAGGCGAGTTAGCGTAGCGAACGAGCTAACCTGAAGGCAAGTGAGCGCAGCGAACGAGCTCCAACCTAAAGGTGAGTGAGCGTAGCGAACAAGCTCCAACCAAAAGGTGAGTGAGCGTAGCGAACAAACTTCAACCAGGACGTGATTGAGCGATGCGAACGAGATCATCTTGAAAATTAAACATAACGGTACTTTCTTTCCATCGGTCTGTCTTAGGGGAAACCTATAACTTAGGCGATACGAAGTTCGCCGGGTCAGCTAGTATATATATTTGAACGTTATGGACTCTGAAACCGCTTGACAGATTGTAATGAACCTGTAGCGTCAGCTGATGACGTTGTCATAGCAACGCATTAAGTTAGTCTGATCTTTGTTTTTCTACAGGAATGTACACACAATTTAACTCTTATTAAAATACTTTTCTATTACTTATTTGGTCATAATTTTATTCTATGTACACGAACAACCACGACCAAAATGGTGACCCCGACTACAACCGTTATCTAAAGACTTATTTTCTTTGAAGAGTTTAAATCTTTTGTGTTTCCTCCTTCGAACGATGTCATTAGAAGACCTGCAGACTCAACTCGC